GGCCACAGGCTCCTCCGGCACTATCCGTGGGAGGGAGGCTATCCCTCCCGGGGGATCCCCCGTTATCCCTCAGTAGTGCCCCGGTACCGGCTGGTTGGGTCCCTCAGCGTTGGACAGGGTGTTTGAGGCCCATAACGCTGCTCTCTGCTCTTGTGGGGCGCGTTCGTGCTCTGCTCCTTTTTAATAGCTTGCTTTAAGCCATTGGGAAAGCTTTAAAAATAGGAACAATGGAACAAGGTAATTCTGCTTCTTAATCCATGTTTAAACTCAAACGATGACTGAAGTGAAGGCAAACGCAGTGAACTGCATTGACATCTTCCCTACATTTGATTGAATTTTTTAGTTTTAATTACAGAAGGACCGTATTTTATCTAGAAACTTTGACATGTGCAGTGGCTGTATACTTCCCTTCCTTTTGAGGGCTGAGGGCACAATCAGTGGTTTTTTACGGCCTGTCAGAAGTAAAGATGGTGGTAGACCACATTTTAGATGTTGGTGGATTATTTATTGGCCCAGGAGTCAACAAACTTACACGAAATGTTAGAGAATAGAACTTTTCGTCACATCGTGAAGGACTGGGGGGGAAACGGAGTTGGTGGGTTTGCCTTTAGGATTCTTACCTGATTCTCTGTATTGCTTTATTTTCCTCCCTGTTTGTCACATTCACCCCTGGCTGTTTAAAAATCTGCAGCAGCTGTTCTTCAGTTTCCGTAAAACAAAGAAAGGCATAATGCACAAGTACAAGTTTAAAAGACATCCTGATACTTTTAAGCTACCAAAAATAGACCCCATTTGCAAGCAGCTATTACAGCCAGGATTTCCATGGAAACATTAATAAAGAGATCTTGAGCCAATTAGAATAATTATAGAGCAGCACTGCCACGCAGACTGAGTACCTCTCCTGAGAGCGTGTTTCGTGATCAGTCTGTTTTTTTAAGCACAGAAAAACAAAAGATAAGATGTATCTGTGTGAGGTGTGTTTCTTGATTCAGCACTTCAAAAATAGCTCATATTTACATTTCCAAGCAAAAGCTATAAATACTTTTGTAGCACCAGTGGCATTAAGTTAATAAACTAAAAATGAAAAAATTAAGGTTAAGATTAAAGGGAGTTTCTTAAAAGAAAGAACCAGTTAAAAATTAGCCTGTGTAAGATCTTTTTCTCATTTTTTTTCTTGTTTCTTAGAGTTTCGTGCTTGCTGATATCTAGTCATATTTCTTATTTCATTTTATTTTTTTTTAATTTCTTTATGAAGTTACAGTATGCTTGGTGTGGAGATAAACGAGATGATACTGGTCCCTGTATTAAGGAACATCAGAGCTGAGCTGAGACTTATGAACATTTATATACGCATTCTCAAAATGAAGAATGTAGAGTTCTAAAATGGCCATTTGCTTAAGTCCTTTTGTGATTAAGTTGTAGTTTGGACATGGTCCAAACACAGTTGGAGTCCAAATAATCATGTCCAAATAATTTGGGATTCCCTGCTGTGTCTGAGTCTTTCATTCCTGTCTGATTTCTCTTTCAGTTCTCATCCAGATTTACTTTTAAACTGTATCCGTAAAAAGGCAAACTGTAATCCTGCAAATGGTATGCATATGACGACTTCCACTGTTGTTGGTAGCTGTAATCTTACAATGTTAATATTAAATATGGATGTAGAGATGGCCTAAGATTTTTCTGCTGTATGACCCAAATGAATTTTGGCATGACGGGTAAATGAGTAAAGTGGTAGGAAGAGGAATGTGGTTATGGCTGGAAGAGAGGAAGCCTTTGAAGGAAGCCAGGCTTTCTACTCTGGGTTAGTGGAAGGCTGAAGCTCATCTCCAGTCCTCGCCTCATTATATGTTTCACACACCCTCCTCTTTTCATCCTCTTCCCCTCACAGGACCAGCAGCAGCAAACCAGACTTTCTGGGTCTCCAGATGAGGCGAAGTTGACAAGTGTTTTGTCACAGTTTTGCATCACTTTCATTGTCACTGTTAATTTGCTGCTTTGGGCTGCTACCACCTTGCTAGAACTCCTCCTGGGGATGGCAGGCTTTTGCTGTCTTTGCAAAATGCATCTGGATTTAGTCTCTTATTGCAGGTAGATATGAAATAATAATATTTATCACTTATAATACTGCATTGACATTTAAGCAAGGTGTCATGGAATAGTAAAAATGTATAAATGGTAATGTAATTTGAATATATGGTGAACAACACATCTTCAGTACTGGAAGTATGAGGCTGGGAAATAACACACATTTGCAGCAATAAATCAAAATAACAAAATTCCTATCTATATTGGTAAATTTTTTTTATATTGATTTCACATACTACTTGCAATAGTTGTCATCATCATAATACTTAGAAACCTAGGTAATGACTCAGGATATTATGTTGTACTAGGTGCTGTACTTTTATCAAAAGATGTTGCTTCCCCAAGTGCCTTATAAGCTGATGGTGAGTCAGCAAATAGACATAAGAAACACAAATGAAAAACACTAAGACACAGTAAGATCAGTATTGGTGAGTGGGGAAAGGCAGTAGTCACAACTTATCAAAACCAATCATGGTCAAGAGCTTTTATCCAAGCTTCAAAGGAAAGAGTTTTTGTGGAACCTATTTAGTTCGTTTTTTTATATTCTACAGGAAAACATACACTCTCTTGATTGTAATAGGTGCTTCTGAAAAAGCATTGCAAGTTATGAGGGTTTGCAAGAAAACAACAGGAGGTGTTAACAAAACTACACCCAAAGACATCTACTAATTCTGGATAGCCCACAGGGTTTTTGAGAATCATTATGTTTAAAACTTGTTACGTCTCTAATAAATTACTATTGAGTTGATGCTGTGTTGATTTGTCCAGGACTAGGAGTAAGAGAAAACGGTGAAAATATCCCACTGTTAAGAATTTTTTTGGTAAAAATGAATACGTTCTGTTTAGATTACCTGATTTTTGAGGCATAGAACTTAGATCTTGAAACTTTTTGCTCTGAAAAGCTTTATAGACATGGATGTTTCTTTGTCCTCTTAGGGAATATTTTCTAAAACACAGCTGATAGTCATCATCCATGCCACCCAGTCATGCTGTCTATTTGGTGAGGGAAATAAATGGAAGTCACTGTTTAGAAATTGTTTGTTAACATCAACAAAACTTTTGCTCTGTGTACTGAGGTGATTTCAATGAGAAAAAAATGTTACAGCTGAACAGGTTGTAAAACTTGTTGGATATCAGTATCCAATATTTTATTCAGATGATGAATATGCTGATTCTCAACAGCTCTCTTTCACACATGAGTAAGGAATAAGAATATACATTTGTAGATATAAATGTATATTTAACAGTTGCTAAATGTATACAGGAAGGGAAGCTAAAAATAATTCTTCTGTTACTGAGCTTTAAACTGAATGCTGCACGATTTTAGGACTTTTCCTTTGTGAACTTTTAAACAACAGACGAGCTTTTCAGATTGATGAACAGAAACACTTCATATAAAAACCTGACCTGAATATTTAATTCTAGCCTGATAATTTAGTTGCATTGTAGCAGTTTTGTTGATCTTTTTTTTTTTAGTACTTGTTTGGTAGTTGGTTAGCTGGAGGTTGTGATGATATGCGACTCATGATCATTTGAAGTATGAGTATACTTCTAGTTGTTTAATGGTATGAATAAGCAAAATTTATAGGTTGAGAAAAATTGTTGATGGACTCTTTCAGATTGTTGAGAGTCTTGTAGAAGTCTATCAGAAATAGCCAGACTTGTACAGATTCGGCTTGATTGTTTTCAGTTTTACATCTGGCCCAAGCATCACTGAAGAGTACTTGAATGAGGATTGCAAGACCAAGTGTTACAATTCCTTCCTTATTTAAGCTTTGTAAAGGCATTCTCAAATGTTAAACAAAGGCCTTGCGCTCCAGTATGTAGTTGGATAGTTTGGATTTCCTGTGTTGGAGGCCTTTCAAAACATCCAAAGGAAAAAAAAAAAAGTTGTCTGTGTCTGTTTGAAAAAGGAAAAAAAAAAAGTAATTAAAACTTGAAATAATAAGAAATGGCATTCGTATGGCGGACACCTACTGGCTTAATCCAGCAGAGGGAGTAGCCGACCAATGTTGGAATTGGCTTTGGGACATCTGTCCATGGGAAAATTTGTGGTGAAAGCCATTTGCCTGCCTGTGTATTATTTAAAATGATATTATTTGTCATGAATTAAAATGATAAATGATAGTTTTATAATATTTTCTTTATATAGTCAACCATCAAGATATACCTTGCAAATAGCATTTTTGTTAAGAAGACTGAAGAGATACCAAGGTTGGAATCAGTGTGTTGATTAGTGGTTATAAATATTCAAGGTACCTAAACTGAAGACAGTTGCTTTTCACTGTGTCTGTGCATTGGTCTTGACTTAGAATCATGGAATCACAGAATGGTTTGGGTTGGAAGGAACCTTCAGAGATCATCTAGTGGGCAGGGATGTCTTTCACAACATCAGGTTGCTCAAAGTCCTGTCCATCCCAACTTTGAACGCTGCCAATGATGGGGCATCCACCACTTGTATTCAACAACCTTCAGAGATCCCTTCCAATTTACATTATTGTCTGATTCTGTTTGTACATAGCATTCTGATTAGCATGCAGAAGTTCCCAGGCTGCTGCTTCTGCCTGCCTGCCTGCCTGCCCGGCTCTCTGCCTCTACAGAGTGAGGGCCCACTTGACAGGGTGCCTTTTTTTGCCTCTATGTTGTGCATGGCTTTTGCTAGACCAAAGCTATTTTTGCTATAGCATGGTTTTGATTTAGGGCTGCCTTCTTTTCCCTTGTCCCCCCACCGTGTTTCCTGAAAAGGATTCAAGCCCGTGATCCACATGAGTAGTTGCAAGAGTCCATGTCTTAAAAGGAAAGTAGTATTGCATCATTTGAGTTTGTAAATCATTATATTTCTGTATTGCCTTGATCCATCAAACATATAGCAGGTGCTTCAGATATTTCCTGGTTTTAAAATTTAGCTTTATATTTATATAGATGAGTGGTATTACAGTAATGTCATCAAGTCAATATGGGTGTTAGAAAACAAAGAAAGTATTTTTACCCACAGAGTGCCTAGGTGAAAGGCCATGGTTTGGGAAAATTAAAGATAAGTGGATGGTGAGATTGCAATGTTAGAATTTTGGCGATGAACTTATGGAGGCCAGAGCAGACTCTGAATAGCAAAATTTAGTTGTGTGCCGTCCAACTCTCATAAAAATACGTATGGGTTAGAATCATGTGTAAATGCTTTACGTAGCAATGGGACATGAAAAGAGTTTTGCAAAGAGTAACTAAAGTATTTGTTTAATATGCTAAATTGCTGGATACAGCTGATCAATAAAAGAGTGGATATGAGGGTTGAAAGATTGAATTTCAGTTGTTGAGCTTTCCCTCAAGCACACATATTAGTTCTGTTTCGTATGCTACTTTAGCTTTTCCTTTAACTTCATTTATAAGTCCTCCCAAATAAATGAAATGATTTTTTATTTTTTTTTTATTTTAAATGAGAGAGATTTGGGCAAATGAAAGTAGTCATGTAAAGTCTGATTTATTCAGTAGTCTTTCCAGCAAATCAGATAGGGAGAGATAGTGTATTTTAATATATCAGCGACATATGATTAATTTGAAATACATTTTTTGTTCTGAATCTAATTATTTCTTATTACTTAGCTAAGAAGAGAAATGGGATTTTTACCAAAGGTTAAAATTGTCAAGATATAAACTGAATTTTTATTCTATCATGTTAATTTTTATTTGTATGCAAAGAAAATGTAAGTAGCACTCAAATAAATGCATGCATTTAGCACTTTTAGATTCTTTTCTATAAACACTTAAGTGTCCTTCCATAAATACAGATCTGTACATTAAAGTATAGCTGACAGTAGCAGGAGTATATGATCATGGAATCACAGAATGGTTTAGGTTGGAAAGGACCTTGAAGATCATCGAGTTCCAAACCCCCTGCCATAGGCAGGGACACCTCCCACCAGACCAGGTTGCCCAAGGCCATGTCCAGCCTGGCCTTGAACACCTCCAGGGATGGGGCCTCAACAACCTCTCTGGGCAACCTGTTCCAGTGCCTCAACACCCTTAAAGTGAAAAACTTCTTCCTAATGTTTAATCTCAACCTGCCCTCTTCCAGTTTATAGCCATTCTCCCTCGTCCTGTCACTACATGCGCTAGTAAAAAGTCCTTCCCCAGCTCTCCTGTAGGCCCCCTTCAGGTACTGGAAGGCGGCAATAAGGTCTCCCCGGAGCCTTCTCTTCTCCAGGCTGAACAGCCCCAACTCTCTCAGCCTCTCCTCATTGGAGAGGTGCACCAGCCCTCGGATCATCCTCGTGGCTCTCCTCTGGATGCGCTCCAGCAGGTCCATGTCCTTCTGTTGTTGGGGACTCCAGAGCTGGATGCAGTACTCCAAGTGGGGTCTCAGGAGAGTGGAGTAGAGGGGCAGAATCACCTCCTTTGACCTGCTGGCTGTGCTCCTTCTGATGCAGCCCAGGATCCAGTTGGCCTTCTGGGCTGCGATTGCACATTGCTGCCTCATGCTGAGCTTCTGGTCAATCAGCACACCCAGGTCCTTCTCCTCAGGGCTGCTCTCCAGCCATTCCCTGCCGAGCCTGTATTTGTGCTTGGGATTGCCCCGACCCAGATGTAGGACCTTGCACTTGGCCTTGTTGAACTGCATGAGGTTGGCTTGGGCCCACCTCTCCAGCCTGTCCAGGTCCCTCTGGATGGTGGAAGCAAGCAAGTTTTTATTGCTCGATACTGTAGAATATTACAAACAAGTAGAAATTTTATTAAAATGTGTGAATGAATTACTACTGAAAAATATTGTCAATGCATATTTTATTTAAATTATAAATATGAAGCATCAGTTCTATCCAGAAGTTTATATTGTTGAGCTTGACTGCTTTGTATTTTACAGCAAATGGCAGAGTTTTTATAGATTTTACTTCATTCACGTCGGGAGCCATATTAAATTACTCATTCTGTTTTGCAGTTCCAAGGATGGATAAAATGTAACCTGCTGAAAAAGAACAAAAGAAAAAAGGCAAAGCAGAAGATGGCTCTAGCAGTAGTCCATTGTAACATCCAAATATTAAGAGTTACTATACAGAAGCGGAGCATGTGGGTGCAGATTCACAAGGAAAAAAAATGACATGTAAATCTATATAGCTGCTTTGCATAAGACAAAAAGTACATGTTATATAGAAGAAAATTATGCTGTATAAATTAAATATGCTTGGTCCAAAAATTTATCTAGCTATCATTTTGCAGGATGCCATTCATTGATTGACCTGTGGCAACTTGTCACCATGAATACCACGAGAGGCAGTTCCCTGTATTCCCTGTGTTCTTTCTGGCTTTCGCAGCCCACTGTTTTGTTCCTCACCATTTTCTTTATTCCTAATTTCTCCTTTCCTGTGTATTTCCTCTTTCTTTTCTCTTCTCCTCCCTTCCCTGTAGCAATATTCAAATGAAAACCAATTTTATGACCCCTGAAACTCTTCTGTTTCTAGAGCTAGAATAAAAGAATATGTGATTCAATGTTACTCCCATGTTGAGATTATATACGAAAAATACTTTAGTATCTTTCATGCAGTATAAATTGTTGGATACTGTATAGCATCAGAGAGATTTTAGTAGTCATAACTTTTGAAGGCTTGTTTGAAAAATTCGCATGTGCTGATAGTATGTTTATGTCATATTGTGTGCCCCCAGTGTTTTAGTTTGGAAATGCAGATAGTCTCCTATGCTTCTGTATTGTATTGCTACGATGCAAAATCATGAGATGCACCCTAAAACTATGATTATTCTCAGTAATAGCAATTACAAATGTTCATAGATGTGTAACTATAAGGGGATTTGAAAATACCTATTTAAGTTTAGCAAATTTAATTTCATTTTTTGAATATTTAAATATATTTGAAACTTTGAATCTGCAACTAATATAAAACTGAATTTCTCTTGTACCATCTTTTTTCAGAGTTTGGCAAAGGAAAGTCAGAAAAGCTGTTTTGAATCAAATGATCTTACTTTCAGACATAAAACATCCCACTTACCAGAAAAAGCCTTATTACAGGTTTGTGATATTTGGTGTTCTTTTTCATTTTTAATATGTATATTTCATAATGATACATATCATGTTTTGTTGAAAAGGATGTTTTTGTATGATGGAAAGGAAGGTTCCTGTTTACATTGTTCACTTTGAATCAGGTGGAATCCTTTAAGGATGGTAATGCTGTTCTTTCCTTCAGTGGCACCTGGTCATATTCTGCGTGCCCTAAGCTGACATTGAGCAGCTTCTCCGAGCTGTGACTGAAAGGAACAAGAGGGAGACTCAAAAAGGGAGAATAAGAAATCAGGAAATCTGTAGGATAGGTAGAGAGTGCAACTCTTGAGAGAAGTAAAGCGGTTTGTTTGCAGTGAATAGAAGGTCATAAGCCAAGCCCTAAATGTGATAGAAAGCAGTTTAATTTTCTTAAAAACATAAAGAAGACTGCATGGACATTATTCAGCTCTGTAAGAAATAAAAAACTGGTAGGTCAGAAAGCAAGTGCAAAGGAAAGCAGTCTACTGCAAGGGCACAGTGGGTAGGGAGACATTTCTTTGCAGACATTCTATTTGTTTAAATTTATTTGTTTGTTTAAAAGGCTGATTTGTTTTGTGTTTTTGTATCCTTACTAATGTAGCGTTAGAGAGTGAAAGCTTGTTAGCACACTAACTTCTAGAAGAGAAGGTAGTTCTACCCAGAAACAAGAAGATTGATTTGTGGCAGTATTTTAGAAAAAGCACAGAATTGTTAACTGCCGGTTGTGGGGCCTTCAGTTATGAGGCCAGTTTAACTAAATTATTGGTTGGTTACTGAAAATAATTGCCATTGAGGGATACGCTGGAACTACTGCTAAAATGTTTTAATTTTATCTTCTTTATAAGTTTAAATTTGTCCTATCATGTTTTTCCATTAATTTAACATTGCAAAAAGATTAAGGTGGTCTTTCATAAAAACATGGTATGTTTTCCTTTTAAATAGTATGGACTATCATGAACTCAAAATTCAGTTTGTATCCAATGAAGTCTAAAACCCTAATGCAGATACTTAATTTTAAGCATGTGCATAATGCCACTGACATCACAGGGAATTTGAATCTGTAAGCTAAATCACGTACATAGTTTACAGACCTCACTCACCAAAAATACAGCATGCTTTAATTCTTCTTGATGTTACCTATATGGATTCCACTGGTGGTGCGTATGGTCTTCCTGGATGTGAGACTGGTTTATTTTGATGTAGATCCATCAGTGGGGTTTGGATTGTGCTGTTTTCTTAGTACTGGCTCATTCAGTAACCAGAGAACTTCTGCTATCAAATGATTCAGATATGGGCTCCTTGCAGTAGCATCTTGCCTAAAGAATTTGGGAGTCGTAGTACTTGTTTCTCTGATTACTGAGACATTGATACAAGTTTAGGAAGAATTTGTAGTATGAACCTCTTATTCAAAAGCAGGGCACTCAAAAGGGGATGTTCTTCCCATATGAGTGTCAACATCACTAAAACAGAGAGAGAGATCCATTTACTGTATGAGTAGCAGAATGAACAAAATTTGATCTACAGTGCCACCTCCTAATGTTTTCTCTCCTAATAAGGTAATATTATGCACTACAATAGAATTATATATAAAAGGTAGTATTAGATAAGAGTGTGTGTATATTTCTATGTGTATATATATTAAAGATAGTATTGCAGCTTAGATGTGTCCATACCTATCAAAGTTGTCATACCTATAAATAAATAATTATTTAATTTTTCAGGAATTCTGAGGTCTGTACTAGCATCCTTTCTTCATTAAAACCCCTGAAATAGTGTAATCTTTCTGGTAGTTTATAACAAACAGTATTGATGGTATCATTCCTTACTTTTGTAGCTTGGGAAAAGTCTGTTTATTTTGTCTTAATCCATGAGCATTGATTTTTTGACATCCAAACCATAAGCTCAAAATACAGTGACATTTTAAGCTGTCCTCGTAGGTTGCCCTTATTTGAGGTCACATCATGCTCACAGTTACATGTGCTGCTGTCACAAAGAATCAGATCTCACATACGTAAAGACTATGCACATGAAAACCAGAATCTGGATATTACCATATGGAAAAGAATGATGGCTATTCTGAGGTGCGTAGCTATACTTTTTGGTTAAGGCTACAGAGCAGCTGTAAAAATGCATTACCTAATTTTCTCTTCTGTTTTTATATAAACTTAATTTTAGAACATCTATAAATCAAATATATTGTCAAGTGCTATTTTAGTGGCTTAGCAGAAAACATTGATGTCTTCAGTTTCTAGAGCAATTCCAACTCTGAGGTCTGGAGCTGAAAAGCAAGGTAGTTTGCCAGCTTAGACTTTGGTTCCATCATAGTGTGTATTTTAATGTGTGTTTATGAGGCGAATGAAGTAGGAAGTGAGAATTCTACTGATTTGAATAGGAAGTAATAACCTAAAGAATAAGAAAAAAAGAAAACTGCATAATCCACACAAATTTCAAGCCATATTTCTGTGATCCAGATATAAATATGTCATGGTAGGAAGAGGAATTATTTTTACCTTTTCTTGGCCCAGCACCATTCTCCCATTTGAGTTCATTACAGTGATTTATATGAACCACATCAGGGAACAGATCACTCTGAAAAATTGTCTTCCATTTTCTTTCCTGAATCAGTTGCCAGTTGGACCACTTCCTTAAACCAGCTCATTGTGTGGCTGCATGAACAGTTATTTGTGTACAGAGGAGGAGATGGGGAACAAGTGGTGGACAAATGGGTGAAGCACGAGTGGATCTGCCTGAATTTGCAGGTGTAGGGTGTTCACTGAACTGCAGTGCCTCAAGACGAAGTTTATTGGGATCTGTCAATGAAACAGGTCTCTGCCTTTGTGGCCTGAGAGTCCATAGGCAGTTTTAGGGCATACAGGGTGAAGCAGCTGCTGTCATTTTTCTTCAAAGTGTAGTCAGAGAAGGAAATTTTGGTGCCTTCCTTTTAGACATATTTAAAGAGTTGATCCCTTCACCGTCTGTGGGGACACATGAGTTAAATTCTCACCTTTACCAAAGAGGTTCAGATCCCTGTCACTGCTCTGAAGGCTGCACTGAACACAGCTGTAAGCTGGCAGTTTCCACACAAAGAGTATGGGGGAGATAGGAGCAGGTCTTTCAGGGGAGCTTCCTCATACACCCTAGGAGGAGAATGAAGCCTCCCAAAATTTCATCCAATCCATCCTATCCCCTCTTTTCTTGCCTTTTCCTCCCTGCCCGCCCCCCCCCAAAAAAAAAAAAAACCAACCCAACAAACAAACCCAAAACCAAACCACACCAACTCCTGTCTTTAACAGAATGAACAGAATAACGTTACTTTGAGATAGTGATGTCAAAGGTCTGGGACATAGATGAAGACAGTAGCTGAGGCAAGAACAGGGTTTTTTTTTGTATTAACGGGCTGGTGTGCCAGACTGGGTTTGCTGCCTCCCTCCTCCTTTTTTTGTGTGCAGTGGTGAGACAAACAGAGCTGTGGTGGGGTACACTGTGGTTGCCATGATGCATGGGGACACAGCAGTTTCCTATTTTTCCTAGGGAGCTATCCCAAGACAAGTTGGGCCACAGGGAATGAGAGCTGATTCTCTTGGGTTTTGCTGGGGTAGGGAGAGTTAAGAACTGGGATCAACAAAAAGACAACAGCAGCAGTGCAGGGATTTGGAGAGGGGTGCATGGGAATATCCAGGGCTGGGGACCTCCTTCTGGAGGGTCTCCTTCAGAGCATGCGAGAGAGAACAGGCTGAGCCAGCTGTGCTGAAAGTATTTTTGCAAGTATTTTTTGTGTATGTGGGATAAGTCATGCAACTTATTACATGTGTGGCCTGGAAGCTAGAGCTGTGGATCTTTGGGGCGAGCCAGAAAATAAGGGCTTTATTTATATGTAAAGTGCAGAGGGAACAAAAATTATTACAGAAAAGTGGGAAGCCTACTGAAATGCTTCTGTTTTGTATTTAAAAAGAATGCAACTCCCTTGATCCAGAAAGAAATGCAAATCCGTGTGGCTGTCACCTGGTTTCTTTTTCTTGAGCTGTCACTATTTTATTCAGTATGGGAAGTACAGAAAGAACTCTTCTGTTTACGTGCACAGACCAGAGCTTCCCACTAGCTGAGTGCCTAACCATTTGCTGCAGAAAGGCAGAGCTCCCTCCTTTCCTTCCTTCCTTCCCTCCTTCCTTCCTCCCGTTCTCCCTTTCTCCCTTTCCCTATGTGAATCCTCGTGCTCTCTTTTTGGTGGATCCAGTACGTAGATACAATCTCCTTCAACAGGAGATTGTTACTGGGTGCTGTCTCCTCTAGGCCAAACCTGTGTTTGCTCTGATCATTCACAGGCTGTAGAAAATAAAACGTACCTGGAGTTCTCAAAGTTTTGGAACTTATGATAATGAGACTTTATAATCTGTGGCACTGTAGATGATATCTGGTGGTGGATCATTTCAAAATCACAGGTTATTTAGCAAATATCATTGTTAGTATGCTATCATTTATTGCAGCTTTCTGTTCTGTTCCTATGCAAAAAGATATCTGTCAGTTTGTATTTACTGCTGGGACAAGATGTGTCCTCAGGGCCAGCTGGAAACCATTTGCTTTGTAAATTACAGTTTCCTAAAAAAGTCAGTGGTACCATAGTACTCTAATGTTGAGTTATTGACAGAAAATGATTGCTGTGCTTTAAAGCTGGCTACTGTGGTCTTGACCTAACATGAAATAAATGTTTCACCAGACCTTTTCAGAACTGAAAATGCAAAAGGTTACTAGCAAGAGAGTGTCAAATTAAAAGCTTTGCTTTTGTTCTAATATGAAACTAAATCCCATTAATGAATAGTAATAAAGTCAATATTTTTTTCTCATTCTAAGAAGTCACATAGTTCCATTTATTTTTGTGAGCTGTGTCAAAATTCCTTAGAGTTTTAAATTAGATTGAGTTTTGAAGTTAAGGAATTAATCCACATGTCCAAATTAAACAGACTTCTGGTTAGAAAAGCCTGTGAGGAGTCCAA